CTGTTGACTATTTTTTTTCTGCATAAATGAATACCACCATTGAAGCAGAATTGAAATTATGCACCCTACAGTTTTTGTGTTACAAATTTTGAAAGATGCCAAATGTCTCATAATTTAAGTTCTAAAGGTAAAAAAAATTCACCGAATTCTAAGATTAGTCATATTTAAATAATTCATAATGGAATAATTGGAAGCGCAAACCAACGGGACACAAGAGAACTCAAACTGCGTTTGTTTGCCTCTTCTCTTGTGTCCCGTTGGTTTGCGCTTCCAATTATTCCATTATGAATTTGTACCAACTAGCCCGTCTGTCAACCCTACTGAGATTTAAATAAGTCTGCTCAGCTAAAAGTGAGAAATTTGAAAGAAATAGATATATAGGTTATGGGGATTTCTCTTTCAGGCACTGAGAAAATGGTACCTCAAAATGGCCAAAAATGCATGGTCTTACTCAGTGCCCTTAAATTAAAGTTTCACTTCGGGCTGTCTTGTGGCACGTGTGCAAATATTTGAGCATTTTGAATGTTTGAACAAATATTATACAATTATAATTTGCTTCCACGTGAATTAAAATTCAAAATTTTGAATCAAAATGTACGAATAGGCATATATTAGACTGCATGTAACTCCTTGTAAAGATAGTTTCACTGCAGCTTAAGAATGCTATGCAAGGAAAACCATTACCCCAAAAAATGTTTGCATTGCTGCAAAGCCTTATTTTAAGGTTAAATGAACATATTATCTTCACATCAATAAATCATTTTTAACTTTAAAGGCTTGTTATATGAGTTCGCATGCTTTCATATGGGTGCACATGCTCTAAGTAAAAAAATAAAAATGTTACCTATTTATTGTTCATCACTTGCATTCTACCAAATTTCAAATCCAGCTACTTTTTAAAGTTGCTTCAATTTCACTTCGAACCAAAAATATTGACAATCGCACCTGCCTTGTTCCATGATAAAGAAAAAATATAGTGAGCAGGTAAGTTTGCTATAATAGGTGTAAACTTGGCAAAGTGGAATTACAGAGCAAAAACTTCATCAGCACTAGACACTCTCACATTGTGCACATTTTAATTCCCTGGTCATACGTCACAGCTTGACCAGCATACATAGCATACATCGCTCACAATATGCAGCTTCCATAATAGATGCAAGGAGTTAGCAGTGTATGATGTTGGGCAAAATCAGTGCATAGCTTAATGAAAGATGTGGCACAAACCGAGAATGAGGAAAAAATATGAAAAGACAGGTTAGAGTGGCCAGTCTTTTCTTGTTATCAGTTTGCACCACAAACCACAAATCTTTTATTAAATGAAAGGCACTTCGCTCCTACCACACCACCCTTTGTGAACAAAACACTCCACAGACACCACCACTTATAGGGGCCCTGCGACACCTTTTCCAGGTATCCACTGAATGGCTTCACTAAAGGAGTTAATTGCCTCACCAATCGACTGCCGCACAAATTTTTAGAATCCACGAAGTACGAGCAGAGTTGCAGAGACTTGTCACATGCTGCAATTGCTTTCTCCTTTTCTCTCGTCCCGACGAACACACTAGAAGCTAAGTGGGGAGGAATGGCACAGGGGAGAGAAGATATGTCATGCGCATATCATAACCGTGAGCCATTTTTCTTCAAACACATCTTTTACTTTCAGTCATGAATGTGCGAATGGGCATGGCCGCAGTAACTATACAGCCCACGATGCTCAAATGAACCAATGGCTGTGAGTTTGGGTATATGGCATCATTTGTACAGAAAAGAGAGTCTATCTGACTTTAAAGATTGTTAATTCCAGGCCGCATGCTGTGCTATAATGTTTGATTCGTGTTCTTCTCGAGAGTCCGGACTACTGATCAGCAGCGTTTTCGGACCATGCTGAAAAAGTGTTGCAGGGCCGCTTTTAAAAAACAGCACACCATTGCTTTTTATACAAGGCATAAACCATCAGATTTCTCAGCTTTATAAAAACACTGGTAACTACACTTTACAGCAATTAGAGCCAGTCTAAAGAATAGAAAGACTTCTAAATGTTTTCAAGTACATAGGCAAGCAGCCAAACTTCATCATGGTACAAAATGGTAAGCCCTTGGCTTCTTTCATTTTTCCAAAGCTAGGCACTTCTATATTCATACTGGATGTACAGGAGGTGCAAAGAGTCCACTAGGTATTTTGAGCTCATCTTAAAATTTATTAACAGCAGAATGCTAGACGTTGAATAAAAAGGTAGATTTCAATAACACCTGTAGAAAAATTATCTACTTTGATACACTGCCCAAGCAATATGTGGGTGTGTCTTTGGAAGTGTGTATATATGCATATGCCCCCTCATACTGAGGTATATAAATCTAAATAGTGTGTAATGTGTGTTGGTTGTAAACTTTTGCTTCTAAAATTTCAGTTATACCAAATTCATCTTTCACCCTCACCCCTTTGCGTAAAAAGGCAAGGAGTAATAAATGCACTTTTTAAAGTGTAAATTGCTGAATTTCAAGGCAAAACTGCATATGTGCGTGTGTACATACTTACCCAGCTACCAAGAATGCAACATAAATGCAACAACAGGAATTTCGCAAGGCATTTCTCACTGGTACTTCTATAAGATAATTTACTCAGGTGAACTTTATGAAACATGATCGTAAGCACAAGGAAGACAGAATATGAAAAGAAAAAGATTAGCTCCCGTCTCTTACGTTTCATTTTTGTCTTCATCGCTGTAAACATGGTCAGGACAAGGCAACAATTCTATGCCTATAGCATTGGCGGACTACAGTGGTAAAAGAGACGCTCCACACATGTAAACGAGATCAGCCAAGTGTGTGTGTAGTGCATGATAATAGTGGCACGGAATTGAGCGAATGGAATCGCTATATATATTAGCCCATGCTTTGTACCGACTTCCCATGATCACAGTGATGGTTTTGGGTATGGTCTCCCAGCAGTGCTTTTAAAAATTCCCATTTTTTGCCAGTCTTTGTCAAAAGACAGAATTTAGTGATTAGTGCAAGTTTCACTTTCTTTTAATGAAAGCTTATTTTTAATTGCCCCCCCCCCCCCCCGACAGAAATGTTCACAACCTCAATTGTAGCCATTATTTACATGTACACTTACTAATCTTTTTTGCAAGCTAGTATGTCACACAACTACTTTAGAATAGGTAACATGATTTGACCCTTGTTTATTACAGTATGAAACAGCTGTAGTTGAAAGTGATGCATATAAGCATATATGGTCATGATTATGTGAAACCAATATTTGCTATGATTAACAGAAGTTCAGCTTCTGGCATACAATTCAGATACTGATAAAGGCGGCCAAGCGAAGTTGCCATTCGAAGTGGTTGATGTTTTTGACAGTGCATAGGAGAATGAAGCCTTCAGTGGTTTCAACAGAAGTGAAATAAATGTTGGTTTACCATTCATAGACCCGAAAAACTTTGTCTATAGAAATCGAGTGCCTTCAAGTAGAAAAGGACAACATTTCACAACGAGAGTGGTAGCATGCAGTTACAAAAGTAAGTATGCATGAACTGCATACTGCCATTTCCTAAAGCCAACATCAACTTTCAACTGCCGTCCATGAGAGATGTCTCCAAGGACATAGCCCTGCCTAGATGCCAGACTGGTGAATAAGAAAGAACCGTTACACTTCAACATTCTTTTATGTATGTGATTGTACTTCAGCAGTAAATGAATGTTGTTAACCTATCTCAAATTTATCGCGTTGTAACCAGCCAAGTGTATGTACATAATGTATTTGTAACCACCTGAGTTAAGGATATACATTTCTCTTTTTCATGTTCTGTCAACTCTGGGCTCTATTTTTGGACCACAATTGACATTCGCAGGTGCACCAAAAAAGACCCACCTATCTTTGGACCACAATTGACATTCGCAGGTGCACCAAAAAAAAGACCCACTATTCATTGTTCGTTATTTTGCAGAGCTTTTCAGAAGACAGATATACAAGTTCCTGAAATCAACCCAGTGACTGCTCCCATTCATGCATGTGACACATGCACAGCTTCATTATGCTGACCAAGTATAGGTGCTAAACATATACCACTTCTGCTTACAAGTTCCTTTCTTAAATTGTTTGCTTTATTTGACTGTGTTTAACAAAAGTGGGGTATGTGACATACCGGTTGTCTCAACGAACATTTAAAGAGGTGGTGCTATCAAATTTCAAGGCTATAACAAATCTCTTGTGGGTTTCCTCTGTATGAAGGACACTCCGCACAAATGGTCAGACTCAGCAGATGTTTAGAATATAGTTTAATTCACTTTTAAAGTGTATATAAGTGCTCATTCCCCCGATCGAAGTGCATTGCAAGCCTGACGCAGCTCTATGTGCCTTGTCAGCGAAGGCTCTTTGGGCACTGCCAGTCTTCTGTGGGCTGTTGTTAACATGCACGACCTTCAAAAAATGCACTGCCGAGACTGTGACGTCAGCTTTTATATTCCTTGATTGATTGCTATGTGGGGTTTAACGTCCCAAAACTACGATAAGATTATGAGAGATGCCGTAGTGGAGAGCTCCGGAAATTTCGACCACCTGGGGTTCTTTAATGTGCACCCAAATTTGAGCACACGGGCCTACAGCATTTTCGCCTCCATCGAAAATGCAGCCGCCACAGCCGGGATTCGATCCTGCGACCTGCGGGTCAGCAGCTGAGTACCTTAGCCACTAGACCTTCGCGGTGGGGCAGCTTTTGTATTCCCGTCCAACAGCTCAGAAAGGAGGGAATTCTCCTTTCTGTTAAAAGGTCTATAAGAAGGGCAAGGAAAATTGTCGTGACGTCACACAAGATCTATAGTGAGCATAGGTGTGCGCTGGTTTCCCTTTCAAGGAGGGATGAAGGTGTATCGCATTGCCCCCCCCCCCCTCCCCTTTCTATTACGTCAATATATGGGCCCCCCCCCCCCCCCGAGTGGCTCCCCCTGTGCCCACTCCCTATTATGTCAGTGTGTAGGGCTCACTTTGCATCCCCCCACTTAGGTGACTAAGTGAGCTTTTTGGTTCAAAAGCTGATAAGGCGTTGTAATCTCCATGGCCGCAAACTTGCCCTTAGCAATAATTACTATATATTGCTAATGAAATTTTTTTAGATAATTTCAGTCAATTGAAAGTATAATTTGTGTGTTCCTCACAATCCACTTTTTCCATTTTTTTGTGCTGCTCCCTGCTGTTGAGGTAGGGGCTGGGACAACCGGTATGGCCAGAAGTGAAGCCTTCAAGATCAACAGACGTTTTGCGAATCTTCGCTAGGGGGAGGGCGCATTCACCGTGGCATTGTAAAAGAGCCAAATTACTGATGTCCGTCAAATCTGACAGCTTGCTTTAGAGACTGGCTTTCTGGTTTGAAAAACTTAATTTTTTAAAAGAATTTCAGAAAGTATTTGCTTTAACAACCAATATATCATAAATCACTTAAAATCCCAAAAGGAAGTACATAATGTCTCTCTCTAGTGTACATGCTCAAACAAATTCTTGACATTTTTCAGAATTGAAGTTGTGAGAGTAAATTCAGTATACTCTTGTTTGCATTTTGTATGTTTTCTGCACTTAAAAATAATACCAGCTTCTAATTATAGGCAGCATTCTAGGCAACATACACTTCTAAACAAAGCTGTGATACAAAATACCAAACTTGTAGGCAATGCTACACACAAAAATAAATAAAGCATAACAAAAGTAATGCCAGATGAGTATGTGGTTATAAATACAGATGCTCCACTTGACACCTCTGTGGTAAGTGAGGTACAAGAGACAAATACGCAGCTTTTATATCTGCAAGCCGAAGGAGAGCCTGAATGCCATCTCCAATGCAGTTGCAGACACATCCTCGTGCATACAGACATAAACCTCCCTCGGTTGACACTTGTCAGCAAAAAGGCGGCCCACAACCCAGTATGAAACGGGGCCCTTGGATCGGTTTCTGCTGCCACTGGAGGTAGGGCAGGTAAAAAGCACTCCATGCTCTTTTACACACGAAAGGCTTCTGTCTGAAAGGAACCTACTCTCACACTCTCCCTCATCTTCCCTTGCAGCTCGAGTGTCTTTTGCTGTACTGTTAAATACCTTTCTGATCTCGAGGCAACAGCGATAGAAGTTGTCAACAACCTCAGCACCCAGATTGCTTTTAAGTGCCCATTCCACCGGTGCAACAAAGACACCTTCACCTACATCTATGTTGAGGTAGTGAAAAACAAGATTTTCATCAGTGCAGGTATTTAACAGCAAAGTTTGTGCCTGGCTTTGGCACTGACTGCTGCCATCTTCGAGGCTGCGACGAAGGCTGCTCAGGTCATAACTGCTGGTGAAAGCTCTATGCAACTTTTCGTCCCGTCCTTGATAGACGTCACTGCCACTGGTGCGGGAGTCGCAATCGGAGCTGGTGGAGATAGAGCAGTGTCGGGCACGCAGTCCGTTCATGTCGCTACAGCTGCTGTAGCTTCTGCTCATCTGAGTGTCATGCTCAGAACAGTCAAAGTGGTTGCTCGTGCAATGCAAAAGATGACACTGTTCCACATCACTACTCCTTCTAGCTCGCCTTGGCGACAGTGACGGGGGAACTGTGAGGGACAAGCTTGAATGGCTGTCTTTCATTGAGCTCTGGCACCAGCTCCTGGAGCTTGCCGAACTGACTGTTGAGCCAGGTGCAGAGCCATGATTCGAAAGGAAACTTTCAGCCACAGAGAGCACGCCAAGAGAGTCAAGCTGAAGCAAGGAGTTTTGAACTCTGTCAATATAAAATGCATCAGGCGCAGGATTCTCCTCTGAAACAGATGCGCAGCCACCAACTTCAAGAAGCGACAGTATGAGGCTGTGCTTAAGCCCCACAATAAGCACAAAGTACCGGACAGTCACAAACTCGTCTTGAAGGAAAATCTCCTTCCACACAACCACCTGCCCAACTGATTCTTCCTTTGTGAGAGTAAGTAGCTGATAATGGCGGCAATACAGAAATACACTTTCGAGGTAATCCTTGGGCAAGTGGTTCCCAAGGAGGAATCCCTTGTAGAAAGCACATGAGCCAAGGAATGTAAAGCACCTGGACGAACGATCAAATGCCTCCGACACATCTGCCGACTCAAGCTCGCTTAGCACAGTGTCAACATGAGCCTGAGCTTCCGTGGGAAGATGCAACCAATGAACATGAGGCAAAGAACGTATGAACCTGTGTCTGTTACACTCCTGTCCAGGTTCCAAGAGCATTTCCCGAAAGAAGTGAAGCAGGAATAAGTCAATGCAGCCATGAGCCTCTACAGTCCTAAAAGCTTGTGTCAATGATCTGTATTCTAACTTGAGAAGCTTCACGATTTCCATCAGAAAACTACCAACTTCTTCTGGAGTTGCATGTGCGGCTGGAAGGCAGAGGACAGCCATACCATTTTCTTCATGAAAGTAGGCTACATGAACCAGATGCCCATCCACACTGAGGCTACTGCTCTGTGGTTTGGTCGCAGTAACATCTCCAAGCACACAACTCAGTGTTACAAACATGCCTCTTAGGTTCGAAAGGGTATGATCGTGGTCGGGAAACCGATAAAATCGCTCAGTTCGACGTGCCGGTTCATTCTGCTGGTGCATGTCACTGCAGAAGCCTTGATAGATGAATGCATGGGGTATTTGGCGAAGTTGCTGTTTTACTTGCTGAACCGTTGCACTGTCTCCAGACAACTGTTTGATGAGCGAGCTTTGAGCATTGACGCTCTGCGGGTAAGTGTACTTGTCACATGCAGCAAGTGTGTTCTCTTCAGGGCGAACAAACTGGAGCTTCACCTTTTGCGCTTTAGAAATGCCCCGCAGAATGGTATCAATGTTCTTCTCATTAACACTCGAGCCATCAACGCTTCTCAGAACATCTCCAATTTTTATAGCTCCTGTCTTGATGGCCTCACCATCTGGCAAAAGTCCTTGCACCATTACAGGGGAGCATTCCTCAAGCATTTCGGCGGTGGCAAGCCTCGAAGGCAGAGTGCCGGGTATTATGCCAAACAGCGCTTCACAAATTGTCGCCCTCCGTCCATAATTGTGACGCCCCGGATCAACGTCAATGAACACTTCGATGCATTCTGCTTTGTTGAAGGAGCGCAGCGATGGCTCTTTTCGACACTGCGAAACGTCCAGCTGCCCGTCACCACTGTGGTGTTTGACCTTTTTGCGTCCTACTAAGCTACGGAACTTGTTTTTAGCTTCAGAGCCGAAGCCCTTAGAGCGCACAACTTGAGAGTCATTTCCAGAACTCTTGTCAGAGGCAGTGATGGATCTTGTCCCGAACGACGACTTGTACCGGGGTTCAATGTAGAACAATTCGCCTTTTGGGCCAATATTTTCGGCCCACTCTGGTTCGTACGACTTCTCGCTACATCCGTCCGGGGTTGCGCTGCTCGATTCACAATCGCAAATTTCTTCGGAGAAAGCGCGGTTGACGTGGGAGTTCTCCAAAATTCGAAGCGTCTGAGGCATTGAAGTCATTTTGCGCTACTGTGCAAATGTTGTCAGAGAAGAGCTTCACAGGCTGCACCACAGGACGACAATTTTAGTGGACCCTTGTACTGCTAACGCTCGAAGGGCTCGAGCGGACGACATTCAAGGTATAGTGATTGCTCAGAATGCCAGAGCACAAGGCCCGTGCGTTGGTCACACAGCGACAAAACTGGCACAGAGAACACCTATTGACTGGCACAACAAGAAACACATCTGAGGAGGAGCAGCAGCAGTAGGAAGTGCTGTTTGTGGTTTCGCAGAGGCGCTGGGCAAGCGTTAGTCGCGCTGACGTTTTTATAAGGTTTTGCGTCCGTTAGCCACACGGTGGTTAGCCACCTGTCATTTGACAGTTTCACACATTAACTTGTCTAAATGCAATATTTTCAAAAAAAAAATAATATTTATTTTTGGAGACAAAACTTTTAACGCAGTAAAATAACAAATAAAAAGCAGAGTATAACAATTACTTACGAAACCAAGCCTATTTTAATTTTCTTTTTTGGGTCATTGGTAAAGATGGCGGCTGATCTGAAGGCGGTGCTTGCCGCACTGCTGAAAGACATTTCAGAAAAAAGTTCCTGCGAAAACTTAGCTGAAGCGAAAGCGATTTTAAGCGCTACGCGCGCAGAAAATATTTATAATGTATCGAAAGACCTCGACCTGAGCCCTTTGTTCAGCTCTTCTAGCAAGTTTGACGGGTAAGTATGCGTTTCCATTTCTCTGGTGTTATTTATACCGGTGTCAAACGGCCGTCGGCCACTTTTGATCATGATAGTGCGTCATACAGATCGAATTTCACGATAGCAAACGGCTCTCTTACGCAAGCTGTAGAGAGGAGCCAATCACTGTTGAGAAATTTGATCCTGACCAAGCCCGACTGCGACCTGCAGTGCGCCGCATGACACCGGTATTCTCGAGTGTGAACACGCAAAAATATTTGTACGGCTATGAGACTATAAGAAAAGAAGGAAAAGTAAAGGAATCGAAGATTAGTATAAGCGGAGTCGAAAAAAATTAAATTTGTGCTGGTAAAAAAAAATTTGTTGACAACGTCGACTTGTTTTGCGGTTAGGCGATGTTCAGAGCAATAATTTTTAGTGCCGGCTAGTCCCAAGGAATCGCAATGAAAGCCCCAAATCCGAGAAATTTTATTCTTCTAACCGTTTTATCTGATTGTTACTTGTATGCACTCGAGGTAGTGAGGCGTACTAAGGAGCAGTGTGACAGCAAGGTACTACGTGTACTGGTGACTGTGTGGCGTTCTTGAATGTCAGTTATTTTGGCTTTAATAGTAACCCTAGCGTCTGGAATGTTTGCCCTTTCTCGTGTCGCATAAAGGAGTTTCAAATAAAAATGGCCAATCACACTGCCAAATGACGCACAGGAAAATCATTGCCGCAAAAGGCAAAGTTAACATGTGAATATGACAAATGATGCAAGGCAAACAACAAGCTCGCTCTACGCAGGGACGTACACGACACACATGCAGCATTTTTACAAACTCTTGGTGCTTTCAGCTGTGCCAGCCAAGGCTAAGTTTTTTAACGCTATGATTTGCCGTTATTAGTACATGTCGTGCTGTTCTGCAAGTGTGTAAAATTCGGGCACCTAAAGATCGCCAAGTCTTTCTTTTTTTCAACTGGCCACAATTTGTGGTGCAATCCTGCTTCTAGTAACCTTCAATCTTCAGGGTTTAATGATTTACCAGCTTGGTACTCTTGCACATTACTGATTATATTATTTGTGAGTGTGCGCATGGTGTAGAAATATGTTGGAGGGGATCATAGAGTGAAACAATGGGATGCAAGAGGTGATTACAGATGGGGTGCTACACAATGCCTTACATATCATTTTCTTTATGTTGCATTGTTGCACTGCTTGATCCCCATTTTTTTTATTATCCACGAATGATGCTACTTTTATGTTATGCTTGGTAAAGCACCCTTCCCCTAGTGGAAAGTAGCGAGATGCTTCTTTATCTCTCATTCTGGCAATAATGCTTCACAAGTAGTGCGAGGCTAAAATGGCAAAGGGCAGCGCAGAAAAATGAAAATGTTAACTGCGTGGCCGAAACCGCATGGCCAAGGCACTGTTTCGTAGGGCAAATGACCAATCGACGAGCTCAGTGGCATGTCAAGTCAGAGGGGGGGCAGTAGGTGTGATTGCCCCCCACCCCACCCGAACACCCTGTCAGCACTCCCCTCCTTCAATTCGGTGCTCGTAGTCTACCTCCTATCACTAATTAGGACAAATGAGTGCAACGACTGTGAGCACAGAGTAGCAGTATTTATCCTTTAAAGGTGTTTTTTTGCTAGTATGACCACGCCCCCTCTTTGGTGTTACTTTAAGCAACCGCCCTGCCCTAAAAATGAGTGGCTACCTGCCCTTGCATCAAGTTGCCCAATGGGCAAGCTTGCGTCTCTGCACGTATTGGTCAGAAAGGAAAAGGTGTGGGAATTGTTTTTCATTATGGAGGGTCTGCGCAGCAGGCAGCGCTGTAATTTCTGAAAAATGTCATATACGAATTGGTGAGCTTGTTTGGGGGTGTGAAAGAAAAAAAGTTGGAGCCTGTTTACTGGCTTTTTAAAAATACCGACAACCAATTTTAATGGTACCTATTTTCTATAGCGCAATGGTAAGCTTGCCAATAAGTGTGTCTGATGACAGAATGGTGACATTAAAAACACCCCAAAACATTTGTTTAATCAGAATTTTTCTCTCTGTGGTGAATAGGAAGTCCTATACAATTCTGACAACATTTGCTGCTAATATTGAGTGCGAGAGCGGTTTATGTTCGAGTACGGTAGTTTACTGCACATGTCTACACGTTGCGCGCATGCGCCATGACTTGACATAATCCGCTAACAGCTGCGAAGGCAGCGCCATTTATCACCATGCTGCTCCTTTTACCTTTCAAGCAATGCAGAATGAAGTGGAGATAGGTAATAATATGCATACTCTTATTTCAAGAACTAATAATAGCACACAGGACAGCATCACACTATGTGACTACGTACTGCAAAGTAATTGGCTTTGTAATCTAGCTTCAAGACTCTTCTGCTAGGCTGCACAACATACTGGGTTTTGTTACTTTTAAATGCAATTCAAAAATATAAACCCTATTTATGTCATGAAAACAATGCTTGAATCTATAATTCACAGTCTTTTCATTTCCATCAGAATCTAATTACATGTTCTGGCCAGTTGCCACTGCCTTTAATGTGGCAGCATTGATTCTTACGCTAAGATATAGTTAATCAAATTAGCATAAACCTTTACATTGCATTTAGTTATGTTCTTTCTTGATGCCTAAATGTCATAATGTTCCTACTTTTCACAGTCTAAAAAAAGTTGTTTGGAGATGAGTTTTCTAGTATTGATGTTGGCTTCCTTGTTCAAATGTCAAAATTTCGGCATGTTTTCTCGTGTATTTTGTTTGTGCAGTGCAACATCATGATATTTGTTTTGATTTTTTTTTTTCCTCTTGCAGGAATACTTTAGATGAACTTAGTGAGCTGCTGGGGAAGCTCCTTGATGCGTTTCCACCATCTGCATTACTTTCTGCTCACAAGCAGCACTTTGTGACTGCACTGAATACTTCTGATGGTGCACTCAAAGCAGTCGTCTTGCGCCAGGTAGTGCATAAAATAATTAGGTCACAGCTAGTGCATGTCCTCCTTTTCTCATTATGATTGATCATTGCTATCTACCTGTTTCATTTACCACACTTAGGAAAAAAAAAAAGCCCAATAGGGAAGAATACACATCATGATTGCTGATTTTGTGTTCATGGTTTCGCTCATTCTTTGCTCGCCAATTTGTGTTCATGGTTTCGCTCATTCTTTGCTCGCCAATGGAACTTATCACTGATCCTGAAGTGGAGACTGTACATTCATTGCATTTTGCCAATAATATGTCCCCTTAAACTTCCATGTCCATATAGTGGTGCGAGTGGACCGGCTTGTATGCCTACGATTTGCATCCAAGGAAGATTGGCACTGTTGTTAGCGCTTAGTGAACACAACTGTGCCGAAATGGCCGGGTGAGTTAGTGAGCACCTGTAATCCAACTTCTTGGAGGGGCTCGGCATGGGATTGCCTTCCTTGTGAGAAGGCTGCTAGGTTGGGGAGTTCCCGAGCCCCTGTAATCCAGCTGACTGGAAGCTGCAGCTTGGAGATCGGTCCTCGCAAGCTGGACAAAGGTCCACTCATGCTCAAGGGTGCCTGGATGATGTGGGCAGTTGAGAGAAAAAGTTGCTTGTCCATATAGTTTCCATGTGCATATAGTATATGGACATGGAAGCTATATGGACAATGCAACTTTTTCTCACTTCTTTAAACTAATGGCCAAGAAAGAGCGAGGTCGAACTTTCTGCACAGTCAATGCATTTTTTTCTTAGCATTGATGTACTGCATATGATTGTTGCCGATCACTTTTATGAAGGCGCTAAATTTTTATCAGGCGATTTGGTGTGTCGTGTTCCAGGACCAATCGTCAAAACTATTATTCTTCTTGGCTCAGAATGAATGCAACCGAAAACAAGTTTTGTGTGCACTTTGAGCCTACCATTTGATTTGTTTTATGTAAAAAGGGAACATGACTAACCACAGAATAATCTAATAATTGATTGCATACTCATTGCAATCAATTACTGGAACTCACACCAAACATATTACTTCATTTTCTTTTTTGAAACATACTATTGAGTGCCTTGGAATTATGTTTTGCAAATATGACACAGTTGCAAACAGTGTAATCATAATTTGTGCCCGAAAGGGATACTGTCACACACTTCGAGTGAGGCCCCGCCGATCCAACATCGACGTGCGACAGACTCGCAGGCTCCCACTTTACGCTTCGGCCTGCGACGCCTGAAAGGCCTCGAAGTGGCACATCTCAAGTTTATTTGCAGGTTGGTCGACCCATGCGGGGTTGCACGTGTGGTGATGTGTAGGCCTGACCGACGCACTCATAGAGCAGACACGGAGATTTGATTACAAAACGAGCAAGCATTTAATTAAAACGAGGGCAAAGGCAGGAGTTAACAAAAATAGCAGAGGAGGAAAACTGATACGCGCGATGGAAAGAACAGCTATATAACAAAATGTGCAAAAAAACACTACAAAAGATACAGGCTAAAGACAAATATGCGGAATGTTAACAAACTAATGGCATGAATCAAAGGAGATACAAGAAAAATTACATGAAAAAGATTACGGTCGCACTTTTGAATTTCTACGTGCGACGCAGCGCACACAACTACACATATTTAAAAAAAAGGGCTGGTTATGATAAATGAACAGTTTAAAAAAAAGTCACAATAAAAAGTTCCATACGGACCAGGCCAGCTCTTGGTGCACGTAGGGGAGTTGACGGGTGCCGCTGAAGATCTCGCCGGCTTGGTAGACGACGAGGGTGCCTGGAATCGTAGCCGTCTCAATACGTTGGGCGGGTCACTCCATGCTCGCCGCCTACGCGAGACTCGCGACACCGACGACCGCACTTGTTGCTGGCTGTACGTCAACTGCCTATTCTGATGCAGTCCTAACTTTTTCAGGGGCGTACGCATGCTCCCGTCCCATCGGGAGGTAATTTTCTTTTTTTTTTTAGACCACCCGTGCCCCTTTCGGTACAGGTGCAGGGAAGACAAGCCGGTGTCACGCTGGGTCGTTAGTTGCCGGATGTCGTCCTTCCAACACAAAAGCGCCCTTCCTTGGAAGATGGGGCCCAAGGATGATCCGAAAATTGGAGTCGTTTGTGACAGATACGGAACATAAACTAAGAGTGCATCAAAAAAACTTGAGAAAAAATTCATGACTGTTCAGTGTGTGACAGAACAGAAAATGATAGGCCTGACATTAAAGTGGCCTGCAACACTTTTCCAGGTAATTGGCGAATAGCTTTATTAAAGGGCCTCTCAAAGAGCTTCTTTAAGTTGTTGTTGTACAATATCGCCTACAAAATAGTATTAGGTGATATTGTAGTGAACATTAAGAAACAAAAACAAACATGGACAAACCACATAATGTGTACTCGAACAGATAACCAGCAGTCGGTCAGAGCTACTGAGTGAATACCAAGAGAGGGGGAAATGCAGCTAAGGACAGCAGAGAGTTTAGTGGCGTGATGAAATTTAGGTATTTACAGACATGAATCTTAAATAATAAGAATCTATAGAAGCATCAAACTCAAGTGTCATGATATACCCAAAGCTTCGTGGCCTGCTTACATTCTTTTGCATACTTTCTTCTGTTCTTTTGCACGCTGAGCAATTTGCATCTCCTAACAAACCCTGTGTGTACAAAAACCTTCTGTTGCCCAACTTTGATTTTTTATTTCTGTCCATTTGGGAGGAGAATGGATTTAACAAAACTGGAGGATATTTGAGCTTTGCCTTAAAGGGGACAGATTGTGATTACATAATCGGGCCTCATGCGATGCCTTGTGAATAGCTAGCCTGCCTGGGTTCTCGGTGCATGCCTCGAGCGTGCGGTAAGGAAACAAATCTTTGTATGTATAACATTGGCCATTTCAAAGTATCATTGAATGAATACTGCGAGCATTCTTGTTAAGTGCCCACCATGCAATAATTATTCCTTTTACGAATCAGCGAAAAACCCACTATGCATTTGTGGGGCAACACGTGAACCTATGCAGCAGTTCACATTGTTGATGGTTCTGCTGATGGTGATTGAATGTCTGAGTGCTCTGTAATGGGTGGGCCTTTAAAGCACCCACTTATTGCTAAATTCACATGTTTTGACATCTAGTGCAATTCAACACTTCTGCCGCAGAGTATATTATGCGTTAAGGAGACTCCTTCCCCTACATGACATTCATATAGTGTTTTTTCCGAAGCAGCTTCAAGATATATTGTGGCTCTTTGGTAGCACACCTGCATGCCAGGCAGATGGCTTGGGTTTGATCCTCACTCTGACCCAAACATTTTCATTATTTAATTTATTTACATACTTCTTGATTTTTCGATCACAGACCAAATAAGCTCTTTAACGGGCCACTCACCAGGCCCCATACCAAATTTTAGTTAGACCATGGAAGTTGTTGAGTGTCCGATGAAGAACAATTTGCCACAAAAATTTTTTGAACCAGTTCATTACGAGCTGAGAAAACTTTTTTTGAAGCGCCGCGAAATGAGGATGAGAGGAGGCGAGCTTGAAACACTTGCCGCTCCTCCGCGTAGCCTTCGCAAGCCAAATCCTTTCCCTACCCTCTCCGGCATCCGACCAAGAGGTCACGTGTGCATGACGTGCCCGAACAAGCCCAACCCCTGTGCACACGAGCGGGTTTTTTTTTTGTGTTGTTGTTGTTGACCAGCGTTGTTTTGATAGTTTACTGCCTGTTTCTGCAGCATGGTTTGGAAGCGCTGGCTTAGACGCAGTAGAATAGATGAGCACAAGGAGTGCACGAACGCCTAGGAGCGTTCTACGGCTGTTTCTGCTTGATGCGCTGACCGCGGGGACACAAACGCATGTGAAATGCCAGCACATTAGCTCCGCATCTCATTGCAATTCTCGGGGGAAAAAAAAAAAAGAACACTCACATTCCCTTATTGCGCCTCACTTTTTATCTAGAGATTTATTATTCTCTTCAAGCAATAAATACATAAACTACGCATCTCGTGTTAAATAAATTTTGCCATGCCACATGCCACTGTTGACAACGTCAGAACATAGTCGTCTACATAGAGGACCAACGTCGCTGCATTGCCTTGTACGTAGGGCCATTCATACGCGCACGTCATGCCCTCATTCTTTGGGCGTGCGCCCTCAAAAAGAAGGGGAGCAGCGTTCATCTTCAAATGCGACCCATTTCCGCAGCACATGGCGTTCCAAATTTTCGTAGACGTGATCGTGAACTCCTCATCTACGCATTGCGTTTGTCAGCTCAAAATTGTCAAACCTGGTGAGTGGCCCTTTAAAGGAGCCCTGCAACAGTTTTCTAAGTAACTATGGAATGGATTCACCAAGGAGCTCATTGCCTCACCAACTGACCGCAGCAAACATTTTTAGAATCTGTCCAGTACGAGCGCAGTTACAAAGATTTGTCGCCTGCTGCTATTGCTTCCTCTCTTCTTTAATCCCGATTAAAGCCCTGGAAGCTAGGCTGGTAGGGATGGCACGAGGAAAGAAGGTTTATCATGTGCGCCTCATGAACTTGAGCGCTTCCTCTCTCTCTTTTCTTTTTTCCGAACCTGCAACTTTTCAGTGTGATCACTCGGACTTGTGGTGGCCTCATGCGAGGCCCCAGTAACTCCCAAGTCACTATGCTCAAATCAGCTGTTGTCTGCTTGATGCGCTGACAGCGGGGACAGGAACACATGTGAAATGCCAGCACATTAGCTCTGCATCTCATTGCAATTCACGGGCAAAAAATCAACAGCAGGATGATGCTTGGGCCTGTCATGCAATAATTTTTCAATGTTTAGCATTATTTGTTGACAGAAGAGAAAGCGATTTTTGGCTGACTGAGAATTTATTGTAAATTTCAGGCTGTGTGCTGTCCTATAATATTTGGCTTTCGTGTTCTCGGGAGCCTCGACTACCGATCGTCAGAGTTTTCTGACCATGCTTAAAAAGTGTTGCAGGGCTCTTTTAATGCTATCTTGTGAAAAATGCTGATAAGCCAGTCAACTCAATCTTGCAATTTTCTGGGAGCCTGCTCTATTTGGACTGACTGGCAGCAGCAGCACTGTCATTAAACAGCAGTGTCGGTGGTGAAGTATGAGCTGCCTTCACATGAGTATTTCGTGAATCAATTTCATGTATATTTCCACTTTTCTGTGACACAGGTCACTCTTACTTTGAATATAAAGTATATGGCCTCATCACGATATCCCCATAGAATCTTTCTCTTAAAACCAATCAACATCATGAGTTATAAAAATTGGGAGCAATTTCACTCTGTGAAGGTGGATGACCAGCAAAGCTGTTAAGCACACGATGCAGAGGTGACACAGAATTTGGAATCTAAGTCTATCACAAACCCTGCCACCCAGTCTAGAACTCCGTCCTGAAAGTTCTACTTCAGAAGGATGTGTGTCTTTCCTTTCCCCCATTCTTCTTTTCGCTACATGCATCATTTTGTCTGCCTTGCTACATGTGCTTTCTCATGTACGATGCTACACTAGTTGATGTTTGCAGCCCTGCTTCTCCTTCTTAATTTTCATTGCACCATTGTCGAGTAGTTGGGTTGCCCCAATTTTTGCGGCGAATATATTTTTGTTGATGCACAGGAAAAAAATGCATATATAGAGCTTTGCTGCAAAACAAGTTTCACTGTTATTCACGCTTTGTAAAATTGGCAGGTCTACATGTGGAATAATGAAAGCAAATGGGACCCATTGGTTGACCTGCAATTTTTTTTTTTTTGCTGTATGCCATGCTATTGAAATATGAATGTGAGTGAATGTGAATGTGAAATTGAAGTATGAATGTGAATGACAAAAATGCTGAATGAATGAAGGAATGAAATTTTGGGGGAATCGTTTCTTTGTTTGACACTTAGTGAAAACCAGCTGACAATGAGGCCAATGGAGGTATAGGGAACATTAATTGTACTGTTTTAAGCATTTTGTAATAATTGTGGTACACATGAGAGAAAGTAAAGTGAACAAAAAGGACAGCTTGCCGCTGTCAGGGACCGAAAAAGATCACAGGTTTGGTCTCTGCCAGCGGCAAGTTGTCTTTTTGTTCACATTGCTTTCTTCCCATCTGTACCACAATTATTACAATACGCTTAAAACAGTACAATTAATGTTTCCAGTACCTTTCCTGGTTTTATTATCGGTGGTTATTTTTAAGAATGCTGAATAGTCATTTGTCAACTGTGATAACTGCCAAATTTAGTAGCATTGGTAGCATTGCATTGGGACTGCATGCCACTATAATCATTCCGTAATCAATGTTGTAAGTTTCTTGTCGTGGAGCGAATGTGCTCAGGTCTACCAAGTGACTACAGGGGACGTGTAGAATTAAGTAAGCTTGACCATTTACTTTTTTTAACTGTTAACAATGTAATGTGATCATAATGTTTCTAGACAAAACTTACTAAATGTGGTTTTTGTGATTGCATAAGAATAAAGACTGTTTAATCAAAAGCCTTTTTATATGTATGGAAAATGGCTGCTTGCATTTTACCCCAAAATCCTTCAAGCTCGAAACCACAGTGCTAGGTGCACTGTGGCTTCAGACTTTAGCAGGCCTCCTTGTGACATCATAGAAATTGGAGACAGTAGTTGTGTGATTGCAAACTGCTGATTTCCATGTATGAACCTGTGTAGAAATTAAATATAGAGACAGTGATAAGTGGGCATGATTATGAATGTGGGTTTGTTGTGAGTGTGCATATGAGTATGTGTGAGCGAACGCAGTTATGAACGTGAGCGGTATGCCATGAATGATAGTGGCTTCATGACGATGGGTTTGGTGAATATGGGTGAGCATCTGTACAAACGTGGGTTCTGATGAGTGACAGTAGGCTAGTGTGTGAGTCGATGTTGTATATGTGAATGGAAGCTACAGCAAATGCGTATGTGTGCTAGCGTGTAGGAATGAGCGAGTTCCAACAAACGTGAGCGAGCATGAATTGGACGAAACAACATAACCTGGGAAGTTATTTGCGGGGGAGCATTAGTTATACACTTGTTCTGTTGACTTATTTCACGACTGCCGTAGGCAAAATAGTTGAGGCCTGTGTACTGGGTGATTTTAGCTCATGTTAAAGAACACCAGATGGTCAGAATTGCCGGAGCCCTCCACAACGGCACCTCTGATTATCATATCGTGGTTTCGGGACGTTATTCCAGATATTATTATTTCATGACTGCCATCCTTTTCTCTTTCGTTTTGTGCTTATAACCAATTCGACAAGCTTGATTCTGTAGTGTCACTTCTTTGGTAATGTGTCTGTAGAACGGTCTTCTTACTTCTTGCTTACTGTTCCCATGAGCAGGGGTGCAGTAGCTGCATAAAGGGGAGCCAAATTGGAACATTGGAATCTGATGTAGTTGATGGTTTGGTGCACTCATAAGCAATGAAGTCCTCATGCTGTGATAAGTGGGCTGACAGCGATTCATAAAAAGTAAAAAAAAAAAAAGAAACACACTCACTACATATTTAGCAGAACATTTAGTTCCAGTTTAGTCAGCTAAAATTTGAATGCTGGCTAGAAATGCTATTCTTAGTGTGTCATTGTAGATGCACTTTGATTAGTGTAATTCAGCCCGGATGCTGCCCAACTGTAATGCTTGTGAGTTCATTTCTTTCAAGGAAGGCTGAGTGTATTGCAATGGTGTTTCTGAGATGTGCATTCTCTTTGTAGCTCATGTTTTTATTCCTTCAAGGTCAATAGATATTATGTAAAAGTTTGTAAAAGGAACATTGCTGCAAAATTTCTCATTTTGTGTTTCAGCTGATTCGATGCTCAAAGGACAATGCCATGTTGTCTCAGCTTGCTCGTGACCACCGTATCCTTGAATCTGTTTTGAGGCTACTCGGTGGTGAGGACCTTTGGTCATCGAAGCAGAGTGCTATTCTACTCAAACAAATGATGCGGGAAAAGGAAGTACTAAGTACCATGCTGCATCCTCCTGTGTCACACGTCCTGGACAGCGTTATGGATGGTGGCGATGTCTGTCGCTTCAGAGTGTTTGAGGTGAGCTTATGTTTGTTTGCTTTTTGCCAACTATTTGGTTCGCGACATGTCTTCAAGCAATGATTTTAGAAGCTTCGTGAGACTGCGGCGTGCAGCACATTCATTGCTGTTGCACGGTTTATGCTTACCACTTTACTCGGAAATGGGCAAAACCTGAGAAAATTTTTTTTTGCTGAATATTTCAGCGATATCTTCAGAATTCAGCACACAATATTTCAATCATTTTGTCAGTTTTTGGTCATGGACTGAGGTCTTCAATTTATCAAGATATGTTTCAACCATGGCCCACAGGGTTTCCTGGGTAATCATTCTCCAAGCTTGGTCCAACGACACTTTAAGGTCTGTCACACTGCTGTCTTCATGGGTGTGGGCGCCGAAAGCTTTAACCTCCCGGTGCCATCGTGGGCGGGGCCCCCAGACGGTACCCCCTGACGGGGGCATTCTCGTCTTCTCAGGACCAAATCAAGTTCTTTGACTGACTGACTGACTGACTGATGGGTGTGGGCCTTTTCTTCCTGAATAGCCCACACACAATCACCGGATTATTTTTCATGGCAGTTTGCTTGCTGCTCTTCAGATAAGATGAAGCCAGCTATGCTGGTCGACTCCTATTTGTGTACTGGGGGCCATTCTGTTACAGTGTTCAAGACTGCTTGCCAAAGTATGACTGGGACCAGGGTGTCAAGGGAGGCTCTAGAATATTTTCAAGGTATATGTCAATTTTTGTGTCTTACAGCACAAAAGTGAGGAAGTGTACAAACCTAGCTGGTTATCCCATTGCAAACTATGGCCAATACTGATATGTGACGGTGGAAAGGTGTCGTGTTGGAGCAAGTGCTCAAGAGTCTCGAGGATGGTGGTGGGCTTTCACCTAGATAAGTTTCTCATCAAGGACAGTAGTCAAGTGGGACATTGGTCAGCTGCCTCCTTCCCGGTGACAAGCACCAATAGCCATGCGAAATTTTTTCTCATCTTTCCCTTCTCTGCACCTTTTGTGTGTGTATATTTTCTGGAATCTGAGGGAGAACCTCTTGTAGTGGTGTTTCATGACTTCTGCTAGTTGTAGCTAGCACTTTAGCTCCAGGGCCAAGCTTCTGATTAAGCTCTGTGGCTGGTATTTAATCTTTCTTACAATTTTTAAGAGGTGAGAAGTGGCAGCAGGAATAAGATAGCTGATGTATCAGTCTTGCAAGTTCGCAACATGGAACACCCACCGGACATTATTACTGGGAATTTTCAGAGCTTGGCAATTTTGAAGGGAGCTTGTCCAGCCTGAATCAGTGACAAAAGAATTGCAGATCGATGTGGTCTAGGGCAGTGGTTCTCAAATGAGGGTTCGCGGACTCCAGGGGGTTCACGAAGCCATTTCTATGATCCGGGAAACCCTCACCCGCTTTTTTTAGAAAAGTCGCGCTTAAACTTTACTTAGACGCGACTGCGTCACGTATTGATGAACTGTCCAAAATGAAGTCATGTGGCACATTTGTTTGATGTTTTTGGTAGCAATACAAGGTAACTGTTTCATGCTCCAGTTGTGTTCATTTACCTACGTACCCCCTTCCTCTTTCTGCAAGGGGTCCCCCATCCTTTCCACCAGTCTACAAGGGGTCCCCGACACATCCGTGGCTGAGAATCACTGGTCTAGGGCATGCAATATTCTTCATTATTCACAAACTAATGTGAAGCTTGAAACACAAAGCGAAAGAATTGTAGCAAAAAAAAAAAACAAACAAACAAACAAACGGAAAACTTTTGAATGTTTGAGGCACAGTGACCGATAAAATTTGTGGCAGAGATTATGGTGCACACTGTATATACAGAGGCTCCCAGATATCACGCAGCACGATTAAAAAAAAAAAAAGGAACGGTGTTACGCGAACTAGCCCCTAGTGCATATTGTTCCCAGTACGCTGTAGTAGCCACTACTGATTTTTTCCTTAATGACAATAATTATTTGTCATTATTATATTTATAACTCAGAAAGTACTCCTCTAATTATCGAGATGTCAATGAGGCAGATGTGTGCATGTTAAAGTGACGCCTGTCTGTGTTACTTTAACTGCGTACTAACTGCGTGATCATTGTTTTCCATTATAAAAAAAGCCTGTGAATTAATAAAAGAACCCTTTTTTTCTTTCCCCCTTCCCCCCTTTTCACAGTGAATATTGCAATTTAAAAGTCACTGGGTTGTAGGATTGGTTTAGACGAGACTGAATTGTAAATTGACTAGTGCGCTTAGATTTAGGTACTAGTAAAGAAACCCCAGATATTCAAAAGTAAACTGACTTTCCTACTACAATGTGCCTCATAATTGTATCATGACTCTGGCGTGTAAAACCCCATATTCTTTTTTTTTCTTCCCTAGGTGGACATCAGTCTTTGAATAATGCCAAAAGTGAATAAAATTCAGCTGTTGTAAATATTATTAACAGCCACTGCAGTGGCCAAGTGGTTAAGGTGCTCGACTGCTCATCTAAAAGAAGCAGGTTTGATAGTGGCCATGGCACTTTCCTTTTGACGAAAGTGAAATGGTGGAGGCCCGTCTGCTGCATGACTTCAGTGCATGTTAAAAGGGCCCTGCAACACTTTTCCGAGTTTTAATGGAAGAGTCTCACCATTAGCGTATGTCTCTTCATGAACCACGTACTGGAAAGATTTTTAGAATGCATCAAGTACGAGCGGAGCTACAGGGGTTCGTTGCACCATAGCCTCCTATATTTTCTGTGCCCGCTCGAAGGAGGCAGAGCCTCCGTCCGCGCTCTCCCACCGGCTGACGCCGTTCCCCAAGAGATGGCGCCACCAGCCCTGGGGAGCGTGAAGTCATTTCGCCTTGGATCGCCGCAGGCCCCAGTCGATGTGCGCGTTGTGTTCCCGCGATTGAAGAACTTGTGCGTGTTCTCATGATTCCATGGCCTACTGCTGTGTTCCAAAGTGCAAATCTGATGCGAAACGTAAGGTACCGGGGATTTCGTTTCATGAAATTCCTAGGGACAGTGAAGCGAGGGCAGCCTGGTTGAAAGCCATCGCTAGGAAAGACTGGATGCCGAACACGACATCACGCTACTCCGTTGTGTGCAGCCGACATTTTCTCCTGATGGACTACAAAGAAGGATGTAAAACTCGAAAACTCAAGAGGAGTGCAACTCCCAGCGTGTTCGACGACTACCCGGAGTACATGCAGCCGAAGCCGAAGAAACCGCGGAGTGATGCGGCTGCGAGGAAACGAGCGCTTGCTACTGACAACGCTGCTGCGCGGCCTCTCGAGACAGGGACTGCAACAGGCCTTTTTGTTGGAGCCGATGAAGACACCGTGCCTGCGGATGGACTTACCTCAAGTTTTAGCTCTCCGGGTCTCGCAGAAGTTCCGTGCTTCACCGTACCACTACAAGTTGAGGTGGATGCTCCTTCTGAACCTACCTCAAAGCACGAAGCCACCCAGGTAGATGTTCGCAGTAGTATTTCTGTTTTAGAACGTCAGAAATTCAGACGAAAGGAGCGCGATTTAAAGACGCAAATACAACGGCTTCGTCAAACAATTGACAAATATAAAGAAGAACTGAAGCAATTAAAAGAAGATTGCAATTTGACTGCTTTTGCCAAGGTAGTTGAAGCTGCGCGAGAAAAGCACGTAGGGGCCTGCATCCTCGTTGACCAGGTGAACGATTTCGCCAAAATCAGACCTACTTACTCCGAGGTTACTGTTCGTAATTGCATTGTGTTGAGAAATTTGTCAACAAAGGCCTATGAATTTATAAGAAGGGAAAATCTCTTGAAGCTTCCAAGCAGGGCCACGTTACAGAGGTTTCTGGGCGTGACTACTGGCGAAGTGGGATTTACAAGTCTCGTGAAAGAGCGGGTGAAAGCGGAACTAGAAAATCTGAGCCCCCAGCAAGCGAAAGTGTGTTCTCTGGTTGTTGACGAAATGAGAATACGGCAACGCCTGCAATACAACAAGCAGAGAGATGCCTTCGTTGGAGAGGTGGACTTGGGTAAGGATTGTGGAACACCAACAAAAGGGGAACCAGTCCTAGCAAATTCACTGTTGTGTTTTATTTTGTCAGGGCTCTCTGTGCGCATTCGAATACCCGTGGGGTATTTTTTCACCAAGAACTGCACTGGACAGCAACTGTTCATGCTGATGAAATATGTGCTAAAAGAAGTGGAGACAGCTGGCTTCATTGTAATGCGCATCGTGACGGACAATCACAAAATTAATGTCCTTGCTTTGGAAATGCTTTGCAGTGGCAAACTGCAGCATTCTATAAAGCATCCCGAAGATCCCGACCGAAAGTTGATCATCGCCTTTGATCAATGCCATCTGATAAAGAATATTAGGTCGCAGTTCCTGGCCCGAGACATGGGAAAAAACAGTGAAGTTACATCCTCTCATGTGAAGAGCCTGTACAAGATGCAACAGGGGAGTGTAATCAAACCTGTACGATTCCTCACACGGAAGCATGTATTTCCATCAAGTATTGAAGCCATGAACGTCCACAAAGGTGTTCAGCTTTTCTCTCCGGCAGTTACAGCAGCGTTGAAACTGTTGCAGGAGCAAGCTGGACACACGTCTGACATCACCTTTGCTGATGCAGGCCCAACAATTGAGTTCATGGACACAGTGCATCGATGGTTTGTCTTAATGGACGTGAGTAACTGTGTCCAACACATACACAAGAATATGCCAGACTGCAAGCAGTACGAGTCTGCTTCTTATGAGCGCCTTGTGTGGCTCATGTCATCTTTCCTCGAATACCTTGAAGATTTGAGACGTGACTGCCAGCCAAAGCAGTTCCTCACTAAGGAAACGTATCATGCACTTATGCTGACTACGATGTCTAATGTTGAGTGCACCAAATACCTACTAGATGTAGTCTCCTTCAAGTTTGTGCTGACGAGGAAATTCTCGTCTGACCGATTGAATCCTTTTTCGGATGGATAAGAAGGTTAGCAGGAAGTAATGATCAGACTGACGTTCGGTCTGTTTTGTCTGGTGTTGAAAAGGCCTTAAAAACTGGCCTAATTTCTGCTTCAAAGACCAGTAACGTAGTGGATTCATCAAGCCATGGCTCAGATGCACTTAAAGTTACAAGCAAACAGAAAGAAGTTCAAGCAAGTCAGTTTCCAGTAGAAGCTAGAAAGCTTCTTGAAGACCTCCTAAGAAGTCCCGCAAGCTTGCTTCCGACTGTGGACACAGCAGCACTTGCTATGGTGGGAGGCTTCGTGGCCCGTGTCATACAAGAAAAGATTGCTTGAAGCTCCTGCATTTCAGTTGTCACAAAGCCAGCGTCCTCAGCCCCCATTGACAGTCTGATTAGGCACCAAGACAGAGGTGGGCTACTGTACCCCTCAAGTGAGCTTGTTCATGTTTTGTACGCGCTAAAAAAGTACACTGAACTCATCTTAAGCAAGCGCAGAGCAATACCAAGGCCTCTGCAGGAAACAGTCAGCAATGCTGTTTCTGCTATGGCAAACAGTGAAGTTTTTAAGCATGTTTGCATTGAGCACCGCTTGCAGCAGTTTCTGGAGCTTGTTTGCACGAAATTTTGCAAGCCTGTGTTCACGAACTACGCCCTGGGCGTGACTGACAAACACGATGTGAGGAAGGCACTTCACCACAAGCCCTTGTCGAGAAAAGTTCTAAAACTGTGAATTGTGTTTTTGCGGCTGCTTGACTGACTGTACTATTTTTCTTTCCTTGATGTTAGGAATTTCCTATGCACCATATGCATCTTCGCAGAATACCAACAAAATAAAAGTTGATGTCCAGAACAAAGTAACAAGCGTTGTCACTTGAGTTTCGGGTTTTACTGCAAAACCGCAATGAAGATGCGAGACATGCCGTAATATAGGACTATGGATTAATTTTGATCAGATGCGACTCTTCACCGTGGCCGTCAAGACTGCGCGCTGGCAAGAAACCTGCCGGCGAGAAAAAGGCCATGTTTTAGCGCACACGTACGCAGCATATGTGCATTTCATATTCGTCAAAATGCGACTTTGAGGCTGCGAAACCAACCCGCAGCGTTGTGCTTCACAACGTAATGCCGCAAAAGTAAGGAGCCGTCATGTGGTGCTGTCATATGTCGCTTTCTTATATCTTTTTAAAGCGGCGAGGCAGCTACAAGTATTGTGGATTCACCTATGAAGCTCTAGGGTACCGGGGACTAATATCCTTGGGGACAAGTATGAGTTTATCGCATCAGTTTATCGTGAACACGACGCAGCGCGTGCACAGACAACGTTATACGCAATCCGCATTCATACGCTTGTATGATGCATTTCTACTCACGGTAATGCTTGCTGATGATGGTAAAGTTGTCCAGGATGAATATAATAGTGCATTTTTACATTTGCGTCGAAGATATTTATGCTTTGTGGGATGCTCACTGAGTAAGCAGAAAGACTACGCGTCGTCTGCACTCCCCAGGGCTGCCGGCGCCCCCTGTCGGCTCGTCTTGAACTAGACGCGACGGTGCAATAGAATGGAAAGCGCGGGGATCGAGCGGGCACAGAAAGTATATAGGAGGCTATGGTTGCACGCTTCAAGCGTTTTTTCCTCTCCTTTCATACAAGTGGGCGCATTGCAAGCTACACGTGGAGGGGGCAAAGAGGTGTGTCTCTTTGTCGGTGCATGTCATGACCCTGAGCACAGGGGTGCAACAGCTTCGTCAATTGTGTCAGTTTGATACGATTCCCGATTGTTGCACCAAGCTGCGCCGAACCCGTGAAATTTGCTGAAATTGTGCCACGCTGCACCAAAATGCCCAGCCAGGCTCAAAATTTTTTTCAGGTGCACTGATTTCAACGAGAAATGCAGGCCACATCGGCTACCTGCAGCTTGCGCCATCAGTCAAAACGCACAGACCTGAACTATTATATAGTGCTTAGAATATACTTAAAATACTCTAGGCACCCATCCTACGCTCAGGAGACGCGATCGACCGGATAAAGTACCGATGCTGCGCGCCCATCGGTCCGCTGACTGCAGCTAATACCTATCGGCGGGACGACGGAACTTTAAGACAAGAATGCGTTGCTGTAGCCACCAACGCTTCACAGGAAACATAAGTTTCCTAGCCTGAAAACGAGGCTATGGCTTGTTAAGAACTAAAGCTGGAAGCGTATGCTGTGTTTTCTTAGCACAAACAAGCTCGACGTGCTGCGAATGCTGACGTTGCCAGCGACCACGTCGGTTTCCTTAGCAGTGGCACATAAAACATTTATTTTTGTCTTGAAGTTGCATCATCCCTGCCATGGTCCTGGCGATAAATATCTGGTACCGTCGCTGGGCCAACAGGGGTACGCCATTGTTATTTTACCTTGTCAAACGCGCCTTGCAAGGGAGGTAAGTGGGTTGGGGGTGTAGCGCTTAGAAAATTTCTTGGCTTTGGTTCTAATAATGCTTGGGCCTCCTTTGCCGCAGTACAACATTGCCCTGCGGAAAAACGTATTGAGATTTAAAAGGGGCTGTTAGCGCTAGTGGAACACTGCACGTTTTCCTCAGTTACTCATGCGTTTGCAAGCCGCACAATTCTCAGTACCAGTATAATCATGGACGCCTAAACAAGCTAATGGCAATCATTTGAAGCAGTGTATGGCATTGCTGCTTCCCTAAAAAAAAGCTGAATTGTGTGCCAGTTTTTTTCCCACCCCTACTGCTTGGTTTTACAAATCTCCCAAATTTCAAGGTCATGAGCTTGGCATATTGATATTTAAATTCGCAGAGTCTGTCAAATGAGTTGACAGCAGCAGCAAATGTTAATATTGACTTTATCATTGTTTGCCCAGCCGGGTGGTTAAAAATGCTACTTTCATTGAAATAGCAGTGCTCTGCTTGCATTGCTTGATTTAGGTGATGTTGAATGGTTTATACACATTTTTTTATCTAAACATAAGCTTTCTATTTTAAACTGCTCCAAATTTAGTATTTCATGATGAAAAATGCGTGTTGTTTTCCCGTAACCTGCTCCAAATTTGGAATTTAGTGCTTCAAAAGTAGCATTTTGCTGCTCCAAAAATTGAGTGAGTGAATGAACAAACTTATTCAAACCATCAGGTTGAGGCATGTGTCTAAGCCGCACTAGGGGCAGTGGAAAGACCCTGTCTCTCAGCCGCCTCCCGTGCTCGCTAGATGGCCCATATTTGATCTGCCCGATCTGAGCTGATCGGCGCGGCTCTCCACCGTTCCCCCCATGCTGTTCTGGGGAGACTGCATTGGCATCCTGTATCTGTGTGCATTCCCATAAAATATGCTCTAGAGTGGTGGGTTGTCTCATCATACTTAGCTTACACGAGTCATCTGGGTATAGTTCAAGGTAGATGCGATTTAGGTGCACCGGTTTGGGAAATGTTCTGGTTTGAAGTCGCCTCCAGTCAACCTCCTGAAATCTAATGCTGTCTGTCTGTCTGTACTGTAGGCCTTGAGCAGAGTTCTAGCTCGGCTTTCTCTTGTGCCTTGATTAAGTTTGGGTTGAATGTTTTTGGGCAGGTTGTATTTCAGCTGTTGCACCCATGTGAGCACATTTTTTTTTTTTTCTTCAATTGAGTGGCAACTTTCAGTGTGATTGTGTGTGGGGTGTGGGTGGTAGTGGGGGGGATGTATGTAGTAACATTTCGCGATGACCACTGTAACTATGATTCAGCCAATGGCTATGGACTTGGGTATATGGTGCAGTAATTTCGGTGTACAGCATAATTTGTAGGGAGAAAAGGGAGATTTCTAGCTGTCTTTGAGAATTAATTATAAATGCTGAGCCATGCGCTGCTCTATGATATCCACTACAGTGTGTTTCTCATAGCCTGGGTGCTTTGACGCATTGAACCTTACCAACTAACCAACCATTATTATTATTATTATTATTATTATTAATGCTTTGCCTTATATTATTTTATACTTTATGCAGGTCTTCGTGGAAGTGGCGCGGGCTTCTCCTGAAAACCTTGAACGGCTTTCGGAGAACGGCTATTTGGAGAGGCTGGTGAAGGAAATGGACAAGAATGATGTCTTAGTTCAGTTGAATGCATTAGAAGTGCTGACTGACCTTGTGTCCTGTAACCATGGCTTGGATTATCTTGAGCGAACTGGCATCATATCCAAGCTTCGTCAGAAGGCTCTAAACATTGGTTCTGATCCCCTTGGCAACTTTCTGGGCCCAGGTTTGTGTTAGTTTGAATGTTGCAACATGGCTGTGTGGTGTGGCATTTTCTTTAAGACTGATTCTACAGTTTGAAGAACGTTGTCGTATGTATGGTATTTCTTTTATAAGACAAGGTGTGCACACACGGACACAAGAGAGAAGTCAAGACACCACAAATGCTGGATTGATAATTGTTCCCTCTTGCAAAGGCATGCACAGATAAGTTTTTCTGCCTTCCTTCTTTTCCGCCACTGAGTGTTTGTGGGGTCTTGGCTTTATGTCCATGTTTGCATGTCCTGTCTTTTAATATGACTACATATTAACGAGCTCAGTGCTCTGTTTTTCTGCTCTGGTATTTATGGTGAAATACTCTGTATCGCTAAGAAACCACTAAGATTGCCTCCGTGGCACAATTTGATAGAGATTTTTAATTTAACAAGAATTTTATGCCCTCCAGGAAAAATGCAAAGAGTACTCTGAATTTCACACAGATGGTTGTGAAACATAAAACCACATGGATAGAGGAATCGTGATGGGGAAACCGCATTTAGTATATTGATTTTCCCCAGGTTATCTTCATTTTCAGTGCCGAAGTTGTATTCCTTATTGGAAGCAGTGCAAGAAATCGTCATTAGCCAACACAGAAAATTCGTGATATACACTCAAACCTCAGCATAACAGAGTTGTGTCTCACACGATAATAGGTTCATTATATCCAAAAATTTATTATAAAGAAATATTCCTAACACTGTATTATGGCAAAAATGTACTTCATTTACTTCATTTTAACCTATATATTGTTATATATGGTTTCTTTACATCGATGTTTGAGTGTAGACCAACCATTAAACGGTCTGCATTTTAAATCGGAATATTGTCACGGGGTCGTGACGGGGACGAATGGAGCACACTGCCAGTCGAATAATAAATTGTTTATTTGGGCGAACCTGTGCTCAGTAAACGGAAAGTCGGACTACAGTAGCAGTCTTGGACTGATAGCGGCGAACGGAGCGTCGGCCGTCGATCAACTACTGACAAGCGGCGAAGCAGGTCTGCATTTATACTCTTGCCGTCGAATGTTCTAGTGTTATTGCTGGCGGTGGTAGGTTCCAGAATAATCTGTACAGTTCGCAGTGTAGGCGTGATCTTATCAAAATAATCTACTACAGTCCGGAAGCTTCTCAAAAACTGCAGGCGCAGTTTGCTCTGAGAATTGTGTAGTGTTTTGGGACGATAACAAAACTTGGGAAATGGAACGTGGCAATATGAATTTTCACTTGGCAATATTTTAAACAGAGTGGCTACATATAGCTAGGTTATGACTATCTGCTTCTCCTAGGTACCTAGCCACACAAGGATAACATCCAATGAATAGACTTATGAATGCTCTTCTTAAGCAGCAAAGAAACCAGTTAAAAAGGTAAAAATTTCTGTGGGAGATAGCCAGTGAATAGTTTGTGTGGCTTTGTTATCAAAATGGCAAGAGCAGTGGGGAACCCGTGAAAATAATGAACTAGATGCATCTAGTTAATCTCTTAATTAGTGAACAGAAAACATCTCATCATCTAGAACATTTTATTGAGGTTATATTATGATAACTCTTAAAAAGGAGCCCTGCAACACTTGCTGAGCATGGTCAGAAAATGCTGCCGATTGGTTGCCAAATATTATAGCGCAGCACACAGCCTGGCATTCACAATAAATTGTCAGTCAGCTACAAAAAAAAAAATGCTCAAAAATCACTCGTAGAAAGCCATTTATTAGCCATTGGTTGACTTAAACGTGGCGCGCTCAGTCGTTACAGAGATCGTCGCGGGAAGCCGCGACTTGTCCACACATGCGCGCGTGATCACACTGAGAAAGTCGCACATTTGAAGGACAAAAAAGGAAAAAGTGCTCAAGATCACAAGGCGCATTTGACGTATTTTCTTTGCCCTTGTCATCTCTCCCTGCTTAGCTTCCAGCGCTTTCGTCGGAGTGCATCAAACTTTTCTAACTTTGCTTGTACTTGACGGATTCTTAAAATTTTTGCGGTGTTTAATCCGTGAGGTAATAAGCTCTTTTAGTGAATCCATTCCATGGTTACTTGAAAAAGTGTTTCAGGGCCCCTTTAATAGAACACAGGCATGTGACACATAACTGTCTTCTTGGAAGGAAACAAGTAACCTGTGAAAAATGGCAGGAACAGTAAACAGTATGGGTGTGAAAATATGGGAAATTTTAAATATTTATTCAATAGTGCTTGCTGTTTGATTCGATTTGCACCGAAATTTTACTATTCGTACTTCCCGAAGACAAAACACAGTCAATGTCAAACTGGCAATGGCCCCTTCAGATTTTGAATATGCTTCACCCCATCACACTCTCGTATTGCAGCAGAGCTCTTTGTCAGGCTCTGCTACAGTCTCAAATGTATTGACTCCAGAAAGCACTGGTTCCAACACGAAGACCATAGATGTAGAAAAGGTTGGGGCTCAATGCCGTTTTGGATCTGAAGTTTGGGCAACACTTTAGTTACACCAAATCGTCTACATAAATACAGTTCGTACTCTGCATTAAAAGGCCACTCAGCAGGTCCCTTACCAAATTTTAGTTAGACCGTGGAAATTGTTGGGTCTCTGATGAGGAACGTTTTGCTACAAAAATTTTTTGAATCGGTTAACTACGAGCTGAAAAAACAGTTTTTTTTTTAAAGCGGCACAAAATGAGGATGAGAGGAGACGAGCTTCAAACCCTTGCTGCTCCTCCGCGTAGCCTTCGCAAGCGAAATCTCTTCCATACCCTCTCCAGCATTCCACCAAGAGGTCACGTGCGCGTGACGTGCCCGAACAAGCCCAACCCCGTGCACGCGAGCAGCGTTTTTTTTTACCATCGTTGTTTTGAGGTTTACTGCCTGTTTCTGTGGGATGGTCTGGAAACGCTGACTTAAGATGCGATAGAATGGATGAGCACAATGAGTGCGCGAACGCAGAGGAGCGTTTTACGGCTGTTGTCTGCTTGATGTGCTGACCGCGAGGACACGAACGCATGCGAAACGCCGGTACATCGGCTCCACATCTCATTGCAGTTCACGGGGGAAAAAAAAATGAAACAAAAATAACGCTCACATTCCCTTATTGCATCTCATTATTTATCTAAAGATTTATTAATCTCTTCAAGCAAGAAATGCATAAACTACGCATGTCGTGTTAAATAATTTTTGCCATTTCACATTCCACTGTTGACAACGTCAGAATATAGTCGTCTACGTAGAGGACCAACGTGACTGCCGTGTATGTAGGGCCATTCATACCCGCACGCCATGCCCTCATTCTCTGGGTGCACGCTCGCTAAAGGAAGCGGGAGCAGCGTTCATCTTGAAATTTGACCCATTTCCGCAGCACGTAGCGTTGCAAATTTTGGCAGACGTGATCGTGAACGCCTCATCTACGCATTGCGCTTGTCAGCTAAAAATTGTCAAACCTGGTGAGTGGCCCTTTAAGGGGGCAGACTAGTCTTCGGAGTCGAAAAGCGACAAAAATATTCATTTTACAATATTGACATATTTGGTTTCTGCAAGTATTTTTCCATCTCTCGGCAAATTTTCACCCTTCAGGAAGTGGTAATTTTGTAATGTCATTCTGACTGTCCAGATTCTTGGTTCTAGGACAGTGCAGAACCTGCAAAAAAATGGGAGCCTACTTCAAGGCTTCTTTATAACTTGCCAGTAGCTGTGTCCAAAGCTCTACTACCAATTTATGAGTGTTTTTATGAGCATCACAAAACATGCACATTGTGATTGGTGTTTTTTGAAGCTGTGTGTTTTCAGTTTTTTCCATTTTTCTCAAAAAAGTAAATTTAGACTTCGATTTTGAGGCCTTAGTATCTCTGCAGCTAGGGCAGGTATAACAATAATTATTTTTGTGATAGAAATCCGTTCGTGTATAGATTGCAAGCATGGGAGCAGGAGTAAATGCATTTTAATTAATTACTCATCAAAATTGTAAAACAATTCCAACTGCTTTTAAATAGAAAGTTCATTTTATTGTTAAATAACTGAGAAATGCCAAAAAACAAAAAAAGCTCTTGCATACTTTCAATTTCTAGTGATTAGTCTATGTTGTCATATTTTAAATATCACTTTTAATTAAGTACTTCTTTTTTATGGCAGCCTTAAACAATAGGGGGCGAACTTAAGTTATCTCAGGAACAAGGTGCATTACAGGAAAAGTAATTACATATTTTAAATCAGCATAAAAAATTGCATAAGCCTGTGCAGTTTGATCAAGATCATTGAAGAAATAAACAAAAAAATGTCTAAGATGAGTCTGCCTCCTTAACTCATTCTTAATTTGGACAACAATGAAACATCATTCTGCCAGTGCTTCATCAACCTAGCCAAAAGAGACAGTCATGTTGCTCTCTCATAAAAATATACTTGGGAATCCTCTCCAATTTTCTTTTGTACAATTTCTCTTTCAAGCATTTGAAAAAATATCCTAGTAACATTTGAAAAAAATTCATTTCGCACTCACACTATAATATTCGAATTCTCTTTGCATCTAAGCTTTTACTATTTGCACCACTCTAGTTAACAGTCATACATATCGTAATCACATGCCTCTATATTGTAACACAAAGGTGGAAAAGTTTTGGTGATTTATACAAACACCGCATACCCTTGCACCCCAGTCTAATCTTAGAAGAGGACTCACTCATACCCCATGCAAGATATTCATTAAAAAAAACTGGCATATCATGTAAATTTGTAAATTGTGTAACGCTAACGATTTAGTACTTAACCATTTTAATATTTTTCCTTGTGACTGGCACGGTATAGCCTCGGTTGCATTTGCACCATAAAACCCCGACTAATAACAACATTTTCGAAACTTGAAGCAGGTAGAAAAAAATTGAAAGGGTGGCACATTAGCATGTTCTAACAGTGCTGTAATGTCATTTCAGGAGTACTCAAGTTTTTTGGCAGCATGGGTGTGACTAGTCCACAGCGGTTGCTGCTTGATTACCCTCAAGTTTTGGGATTTATCTTTGATAGTGTTCAGAGTGATGATCCAGCGTTCCAAGTGGTTGCTGCTGAAACAGTAGGCATAATCTGCTCCACCGTACAAGGAAAACGTGTCCTTCAGTCACACGGTAGGTTCTTTAAATGTGGGAATTTAAACATGGTGCATTTATGCAATATTTTGACTGTGCGTGACCCTCAAGGCCAGCTTGAATATTTGATGAATGAACCTAAAAACAAAAAAAGAAAAAAAAAACGGCACACATTGTGAAGCTTTATTTACTGATGCAGTGAGCAGTTGTTAAAGATACCTGGCAGAAGGCTAAAATTACTGCCATGCATGTTGTTATTTATTTTTTGTCTTCATGCATGCTGTAGTCACAATACTTTGCTTTCTTCAAACTAGTGTGGAATTCTAGCATAGTTCAACTGTCACACTATACTGCAAAAAGCTATGTATTGAAGGCGTTTGCTCTACGCACGGCCTGGTGCTCTATGGGCTGTTGCAGCTGTGCTTCCAGCCACACACAGTCGTACCATGCACATGTTAACGTCCCTTTCGCATAGCGTGAGTAATGGCAGCTATGACGGTTACGTGCAGTCAAGGCGACAAGCTAGGTCAACAAACAACGCTGTATTGCTATGCGAGCAATAGCACATAAGCATTGTGTGGAAGGACAGTACACTCTATGTTAATCGGTGGCTTGGAAGTCCTGAGGGGGATCATTGGTTACCACTGGTTCAAGAGAGAGCATATCTCTGTCTGCTTGCCTTCTTTATCTCCTCCTGTCTCACTTCCTTGCAAGAGTTATTTCACTCGCAGCGGACGAGTACTCTTTCCTGCGAGTAGGAAAATGATGATTATGGTGGTGTGGCAGGACTGGAAGTGTTCTTAGAGAAGGGGCAATGGTGTTCCCACTCCATGTGGCCTCTTGGCTCCCACTACCATTCCTCAATTGCACCAGCCTTTAGAAAGGAAATGGGTGTGCATGCTAGACCACAGTTGGTAAAAACAAAGCAGTACTATTCTTGCAGGACATATTAGTGGGCAAAAGTTGGAAGTTGTGCAAGGCTTGTTGGTCTGGTGAGCGAGCAAGCGGATGATAAAATATGTGAAAGTTGTGAAGAGCACACGCTCAGCCGAAACATGCCCATGGTGCACCATTTGTGCCATGGCTGGTTGAAGAGAGTTTTCTAGCAGCGCTGGTTTACCGTTCAGAAACTCTTTGTGGTATGTTTATGTGCACTAAGATGGTGCAATAATGGCTTGTGCTTCGCTTGCAATAAACTTCATCAGTCGTCCAACCGTGACTATAACCGCTGTTTTGCAAGCTTATGCATTCTTTCCATAACAGTGTAAGAGAGTTAAGTTTGTCTGCAAGCTGCTGAGCATTAGCGTTTTGCCTAATTACCATATCCACAAATGGCCTGGACAAGCAGGCTATTCAAGAGATATATAGGTGGGGAGTGATTAATTTTCATGCTCTGTGCATGCATATATTATAATTAATTTTCGAAGTCTTATGCCAGTAAAATATTTTGTATGTATGCTTATTGCATTGCTATTTGATATATTTTTTCAAAGAGTCCGAAGTAGCCTCAGGCTAGTGATTCGATGGATTTCTATAACTAATATTTTTGTGAATTGTTTTATGCTAATGAATTCAGTTCAAAAACTAGGCAAGTACATAATGTAATCAAAGGTATTCTGCTTAATTGCTCGTGTAAATTTTCAGCAGTGGCATTAATCTAAATGTGCTGGTTTTAAAGCTTTTACTATCAAAGACACCAGTGTGGAGCAGTCCAAATACAATGACTGCCTTTTTGAGGCTGCAGTGGCTAGTATGCTGCATCCTCGAATACAGGTATCGGCACTTTCGTCGCTTGTCTCTTTGCCCAGGCTCACATCACATGCACCGTGGCTGGTAATTGTGAAAAGCCACCTTGGCAATTCGAGGCAATCAGTAAAATTCATTTGGGAGCAATTTGCACATCTTTCAAGTCTGTAACATTGCATAAAAGACAGAAATGTGCTAAGGAACATACTTAGTGGATTTTATTGAGATAGCGATAAGGTCAAATTGGGGCCACTCGGCGCATATTGCTGAAAGAATAAACCAGTCAAGAAGACAAGAGACGAAGGAGATCATTGCGTGTAATTCATTTGTGTGTGCCACTTCTCTCCTTTTTCTTTCATCTTCTTGACGGGTTTATTCTTTCATTGAATTTCATTGACAGAAAAAAATCACCAGAGTTGGCCTTTAAGAAGCTGTGAAATACTGAAGCAACTTAAGCACTTATGTGATTCAAGCTGCTCATTGTGTATTTATTTCAGGAGATCGGATGAGCCGCTATTTAAAAACATTAAGGCAGAACCTCCACAGCGGAAAGGTTGACTTCAAAGCCCGATACCTTGGTGCCCTGGCCAATGTCCTGCATGTTCAAGTAAGCCGCTCTTCTGCACAAAGAAAGGAAAGATTCTGAAGGAGCTAAGGTTTAATGAAAATGTCAGTTAGGATGTTCCCAGTTAATGCCCTGTGTCTGTTTATAATTCTGATAAGGTTTCACTGCCTATGGCACTCACTACACAAAATTTGTTGCACCTGCCATCACACAGCATGAAAGGAGTTAACAGCTGGCATTTGTGTTTCATGGTGCATGCAGATATGTGGCTGACCCCAAAGAGAAGCCATGCTCACTCCTTCTATAGCCAGAGCTGCAGTTTGAATGGTATACCATAAAATTCCAAACAAGCGCCCTTTCAGATTTCACTGCTAATTTCATTTTCTATGCCATTCTTGCAAAGCCATCCCCCTTGCTGCTCTGCACGTCAATCATGCACAGTGTCCACACAAACTGGGCTGATTAAAGCCCATCCAATGCTGCCTAGCAGCTTTATACCGAACCACCTCTGTTTTCTGCATTGTGGTTGCACAGCGAACTAGTGCAAGAGCTGTGATGATTTTCAGGGTACCGTGAGCAAAAGCATGGCCTTCAAGATATGGTACCTCTAACGAGAAGCCAGCAAACGTAAGGCCTCCGAGATCCAATTCTGTTTATAGCTGTTGTGTTGATCTATAATCGGAGGTGCTTCCATGCCATGCTTCCTGTGGTCTGATCGCATTTTTTTTTGTATCTGTGCCTGTGAGCCATCGTAATGTGCCATGTCATGGATGAGGTTGTGAAGACTTCTGTAAAAGTCGATGTGCCCTGCGCTCTCTCACTCTATTTTTTTATTTTTTGAAAAACTTTAATTGATCAATCTGGCTCATGATATTGGCTTGGAGCAGTGTCCACCCATTGGTGCAGGTGTGGAGTTGTATGTTTGAAACTTGCTACTGCTATTACTTTTCAATGAAGTTAATCTTTTTACAGCAAAAGCTGTTATGAGATCACAATAGTGTCCCATGCGCCATAGTCGTCTGTCGCCGGTGTCCGTAACCACTGTCGCCCAAAATAAGAAAAAAAAAAAACTATAGTAAATAAAAACACCAAAGACGCAGTGTGATTTGGACTTGGGTACCGTGCGTGCCAGCCCAGTATTCTACCACAGAGACACGCCGGTGCTTGAAACTGTGTTGCAAACTTGCCCTAGGCAGGCTTAATTGTGGGAAAGGAATCACATTAGTATGAGTAATAAACCGTTTTAGAAGAGCAAAGGATTAACCAGGCATCACACAATGCAAATTGTGCATCGAGTCGGTCGTCTAATGCTCCAACCCATTACAAAAGCTTCTTCTTGTTCATCTATTAAGGGGAGATGCTACTTGAAGACACTTTTTTTTTTAATATTCACCCTAGAGCACTGAAACTTGTGTAGAACTTTTTATGCTGATTTCAAGTATAGTTTTCTTGCAAGTTGCAGACTATTAGCCCTGCAACATGACAAAGTGAATACCTTAATTTAAGCCTTTTGCCACCGCCCCCCCCCCCCCCCCCCTCTTTTCGTCACTAAACTTCCATAATTTTTTTGATAGCTGATAATGTTTCAAATTAAGTGTAGAATGTAAATAACTAATCAGAAAGTGCATACAAAATATGTACTAATAGGCGTGAAAAATAATAGAGTTGAAAAAGTTCATATTTCTCCTACCCTAGTAAAGGTTTATGTAGAATTTTTATGATATAATAAAAATATTTATATTTAAACTAGATAATTATATATAGTCGTACATTGGAAAAGTTTTTGGCAAAATTTCATGCAGATCCGAGCACCAGAAGTACCCGAAAAAGGAGGGGAACATTGAAAAAATGGCGAATTCTGTGTTTTGAAAAAAATGAGTTTTAAAGTTAAAACTGAATTTTTATTTATGAAAGATGTCGTTAAATGAGATGAAATTTGCACAGCAAAAAGAACAATGCTTCTTGTAAAGGCCACTGCCACTAAAATGCACCACCACCACAAGCTTACCTCTCACGTCTAGTACGAGCTGACTCCTCAAAGACATTTCGCTCACAGACGGAGCCATGAAACATCTGCCAAACTTCTTCCGCTCCATCTGGCAGTCTTGTGCCAACTGCAAGCTAGGCAGAAGTTCAACACGAAATCTAAACGAACTCCAGTGTCGAGGAACACAACAGTGCCGATGCCGTTGTGGCTCTTTTGGCCGCGTTCGTGCCACATACTGTCATACATAACGGCAATGTCGTCCCCACTAACTTCCCTCACTGTGAGCTCCCTCGACCTCGCAAGATTGGCGCAGATGACATCCATTGCTGCATCATGGACTTTCTGGCTGATGGTTGTGGATGACTTTGATGCATTGGCTTTTGGAAGCCAAAAATCGCCGCAAATCAGACCAGCTGCTCGTGGCCCATTGCTACAGAGCGCATTGCCACAACAGCTTTCACATTAACTGCGTAGCTATCGCACGAGCTATGGCTTTCTTCATCCATAATGGAGATGAACACACAAGAAAAGGGTTGTTCAGCTGTGCTGCTAGACGAGACATGGATCCTGCAAGTAGGCTTCACAGCACATACAGGTGCGCAGCGGCCAATGGTGCTCCCCAATCCATACCGAGTGGTTTAAAAGGCAGTCGCCGTGCTCGAAAAACGTGGCAAAAGCGTGCTTCTTTTTATGATTTCTCGCACTGCAGCAGCGCAGGAAACCGTTGTTATTTGAAGAGTGAGGCTCGGATCTTCGCCTCATGTGATCGACAATGGCAAGCGGCGGCGCATTATCAGCGATAAGGTGCTCAGAGACTGCACACTTTTGGTTCTTTTAACAGCTACCTTGAGCTCTTTAAATTTCCTGTTGAGTCCTTACAGATTTTTTTTTTCTTTCAGAACAGTAGAGGTACTAACGTTATCAAAACGGGAGAAAAAAAAAATCTAATTTTTTAGAAAACTCGTTTTTCAACCTGCATCTCCCCTTAACTGTGGCGCATACCCACTTCAGCATAATTTCTTCATCAGCCACTGCACAAAAAAATTTGCATGAAATTTCTTGCAAGTGTGTAGTGATACCACGCTTCTTCAAAGAATGACGAAGCATAGCATAGGGAATATTGGCCTACTGCACAAAAATTATAATTATTTATGGTGTAGTGGGTAACCTGCAAGTTTGCTTGTAGCAGTTACCCAAAGAGTGTTTAGAAAAAGGCTCTGAAAGGTCGCTCTTCCAGCTTTTGCTCTGTGCTGTGCTGCGCGTTTCGCGCAGGCTTGGCGTTTTTTTTTTTTATGTGTGTGTCAATTTTCTTTATAGCTATTCCCAAGGTGAAGTAAGCATGCAAGCGATAGCTTGTGTAGATAAGAGACGCCCAGATAACACAGGTTGGCAAGAGCAAGGATGACTGGCTATAGCAGCAGCAGTACCCTCTCTCATCACGCAATACCTAATATGCCAGCAAATGGTCCCTTTTTCGTGGTCTTGACCCACCACAGTGGTCTATCTATAATTGTGCTCGACAACTGACCCAAAGGTTGCTAAACATCAAAACCCGGCTGTGGTGGTCGCATTTTCCATGGAGGTGCAAATGCTTGAGGCCCGTGTACCTAGATTTAGGTGCATATTAGAGAACCCCAGGTGTTTGAAATTTCTGGAGCTCCTCACTACAGCGTCCTTCATAATCATATGGTTTTGGGACATCAACCCCAGCACTTAATGTTATTTTTTTTCCCCTGCTCTGCGCCGTCTAGCCATGTGTGGTGTCATGGCCTGTGGGAATTCAGCTGCCTTTTCAATGTTGCAGATGCCGTTCACTCAATGAATCATTTAGTGCTTTCTTGTTAGAACCTCATTTACAAGTTGTCGAATGACCAGAGTTTACAAATACTAAACCTTTTTGAAGCACGCAAGCGTGACCATCGGGGTGTGCAAGTGCTCGTGGGAAAAGTTTATACACTGCAGCAGCTGGCGAGACAAGCGCACAGGCCTCAAGCTGTAGTTTTCTGCTTTCGCTGGGCCAGCTAAAGTGATATAGGAAGGTGCAACAATTTACTGCTTAATTCCATTACAAACTTCGGTCTTTAGCTGAGACGGCTTCTTTACGATTTCGATCTGTCCCACTGTTGAACCAACTGAGCAGCCCAAAAACATCGCCCTTTTTTGATTATTTGTGTGCCAGTACACTACGACTCAAATGACATAAATAAAGATACAATTCAGTTGCCTATGAAGTGCAAAAGCAGTCGTGTATGCTTTTGGAATCAATGTACAATAACACTGTCGATGAGTAGAATGTGAGGTTTTGATATTAAAAGAGCATGCCAGAAAGTATAGTTAGTCGGCATTTAGTAAAAAAAGATGCAATTATTAGACAGCACGAGCATCCCTAGCACCACTGGTAACAATCGATAAATGCCTATCAGCCTTCGCTGGTACCGTTACTACAGGTCAGAATAGAAGGAAGCAGAACAATGAAAGAATACACACTACAAGCACTCATTCAAAATGTTTATTGCACATTTGAAAAAAAAATGTATACTATACTAAAAATGGTGTGTCACGCATGTCATAAAGAGGCACGAAAAGGCAAACAACCAGAAGGCGCGTTTACAGTCGAATAATTTAGTTTAATTTCTTGTCTTGTAATGATAGAGAAAATTGACTTTCACAGAGTGCAGTGTTCTTAAGCAAGTATCCACATGACGGACGGCTCCGTGGAAGAGTAATCATTTCGTCACTTGTCTGGCTGTGAAGCGCATCCAGACGTTGGGCTAATCGAGTAGATGGACATGCTGGAATAGAAAAAAACATGGCGGCGCTCACTGAAACGAGAGCTGCCCGCTTCAAATCTGTCTTCGTCGTGCATTGTGTGGGCTGTTAGTCCCAAACTAATGCTTGATTTGCTTTTAAGTTTGTGTCCGAAAGATTTGCCAGTAACGTATTCGTGACAATTTGGCACCGTTTCCGAAAGTGCTCGTTTTCTCAGAGCTGTTAGGCTGAGCGAATGTCTCTGTTGCTGGAACATAGCCTAAGATGTTTGTGGTAGCGTGAGTGC